AGTTCCTGTTTGGCATGCTAGATATCCCAAAGAGGTTTTTGGAAAGTAGAGGAGAAACCAAAATCCTTATAAAATTAATAGGAAAAAGAAATACTGTAGTTTGGTTGGTTTGGTTTTTTGCAACTGATTTTGCTTGATTTTCCTCAAATTTGAATGGTCAACCTCCTGACTTGTGTGATCTAGTTTGATTTCCTGAAGTCCATATCTTGCTAAGCATTTTCTCAACTTTATCTCATATGGACCCAATATCCATTGTAGAGTTTCCATTTCCTAAGGCATGGGGCAAAGGGGTGGAATGTGACTGTTGTGTGTAACTTATGCTAACCACTGTATCTGCTTTTCATGGTGGGCTTTCATCCACTGTACATGTTTCTTCCCCACCTCCACCTTCTCCTTCTGCTCATTGGCTTTTACAAAATAAGTCAAATAAAAGTCAAATATAGGTCAGCAACAACACATATTTGGCTATTTTGTTTAGGAATTTTTCTTTGATGTATCCTCTCAGTGGAAAGAGTGGGGAGGATTTCCAACGCTATTCATGGCTCCACCATTCTGCCATTTGCATGTATATGCTTTTCTTTCTCTCTTTCCTTTCATCATGGCTATAAGGGCACTTGTGCAGAGATGCTCAGAAAAGCATGCTTGGACTAAGCAATGGACAGATATTGCCACTTACAACCCGAAAACCGTAATGCATTGGATGAAAGGTTCATATGGTTTCTGTTCTCCTAATTCCATAGATGCTTTAGTGGTTTGAAAGAGAAAAAAGCACAGGATGCCAGTCCACTGGAAGTAAGGATACTACCAAGAACCAGTGGATCATAACTTCAGTTCAAGGTGTCACGGATCAGTGAAGTTCAAGTAACAGTGAGATTCCTGAAATCTAGTGTCTAGTTTCAGGGACTATTGGGTTTTCTCAACAGATGCCAGAAATATGGTTTGTTATATAAACCAGCTGCTGCATAGTGTGACTAATGATATAATCATACAGTGAAAAACTATTCCATTCAAATGGAATTAGAAAACTGCGCATAGAATCCAAATTTATTACGACTTCAGCAATTTTACACTGTATTGATGAAATTCTGGGGAAACGCTCTTCGGTTAGGAATCGGGATTTACCTTGTTAGTTGATTATTTCACTTCCAGTATTTCTTCTTGGCCTTTAAATGTAATTGTATGCTGTTGAAGGCCCTGCATTTTTAAATATTACAAAACACCTTTTAATAGAGGTTCATTTTACTGTCTGTGAATTTTAGAAATGGCAGTTCCAAAACAATTGGTTTGTGTCAGTTCAGGACACATTCACCTTAAGAGAAAAAGCTTATCTTTTGGATATATGAGAGTTTGGGAAATGTTTGTTGATGGTCTCTCCATTTGCCAGTTTTCTAAACTGTTTCAAAGTCAGTTTAGCCAGCAGAGGCAAGTCCTTCATAATCAGAATCACCTAGGAAGCACATTGTTTGTATTTGAATTGGTATTGTCTGTAATGAACTGCCATTATATATTGTACATTGATTGTGGATGCAATTAATTTGCAGAAATGTAATGTCCCATTTAACCTGCTCTCAGAGATTGCTGTTGGATCTACTACTAGAAAATACATTTAGAAATTATTGTGATAGAAATCAGGAAGTGATTGCTTTTAGTCATTAATATAATGTACAGGCCATGTCAACAAAGATGTCCTAAATTAGCTGTAACACAAAGAAGCGTGCTGAATTTGTACAGTGATCTGTCTGTTAATCACTCTGTAGCTATGTGTCAAGTTGACCTCTGAGTTATGAGAATGGGTGAGGGATTCACATGCTTTTGAGCATCTAGATCATCTAATATCCATTATTTAAAACTAGACTGCTTGAAAGTCTGAAATTCCACAATTAAGAAATATAACACAGTTATATGGAGCATTGCCATTTTGACTATTTATTCTGAGGGTGGGAGGCCTACCATCTAGGAAAGAAACTAGATGAATGCATAGATCCAGAGAGTGTTTGGGGTTTTTTTGTTTTAACTTTATGTGTATTAGAAGCAAACTAACAAACAGATGGGAGCGCTCTGGCAGCATCTCGCTCAGCTTTCTTTGCACATTTTGCCCCCCTCCATTTTGTCCCTGCCTGACTGTTGAGTTTGTGAAAATGGCACAGCCTGTATCTGAAAGCTGACTCAAACATTTCTCTTGACAGGCATGGGGAAGAAAGATGACCCTAAGCTGATGCAAGAGTGGTTCAAGCTGGTGCAGGAAAAGAATGGCTTGGTGCGGTATGAATCAGAACTCATGATATTGTGAGTAAGCATTCTGTATTTTGCGCCCCAGCATAGAAAAGTAACAAATACTATATGTGGTAGCACCAATATGGCCATGTACTGCTTTCTGATATTCATGATAAGAAAAAGTAGAAAATTGCTTTAAAGATGAATGAAAAGATTTGAATGAATGAAACATGAAAAGATGAATGTAACGAATGAAAGGTGAATGAAATAGTCAGAATAGATAGTACTGTGTTAGATGACTCGCTGACTCCATGATAGACAGCTTCCAATTTTGTCAAGGGATCCAGCAGTTCTAGACTGTGATTCCCGCAATACACCCATACACCCGATTGTTCAAAACTGCTGATCATTAACCGGAATAACTTTACAATCGATTGATATAACAGTATAGATTGTTTGGTTTGTAGAGAAATCATGATTTGGAATGCCCTTCTTGTTAATAAAGTTATATTCAGCCCAGTTGGCAGATTCCATCATAGATTTCTTTCTTCTTTGCTGTGTTTATTTTCTCTTTCTAGACTATGGTTCACATGTAATACATAAAACTAGAATTCCCCACCTAGAATTTTCACTGGGTGCACTATCTTAGTATCCTTTTCTTCTTCTACCAATGTACATCAGAAAAAGTACACAAGTTCTGATGTTGAAATATCCCCACCTGTGTGTTTGCCTCATCACCTTAGATAAGAGAATAGCTTCACTCAAATCCTCCTTTGTAATCTGTAGAAGGGAATTGAACCTTTGATTTAAAGATTATTGAGTTCATATATTCGTGAAGTTTCTTTGATCCTGGAAATAATGTTATGCCACAAAAATAACACAGGCCAGTGGTGGCGAACCTATGGCATGGGTGCCAGAGGCGGCACTCAGAGCCCTCTCTGTGGGCACATGCGCCGTCGCCCCAATCCTAGGCCTTCAGCTAAATTTTATAAAACTTTTTCACTTTAGGCCTCCGCTGCCGTGTGCAAAAAAAAAAAAAGGTTCAATTTCAACTTCTGGTGGGGAAAAAAAAGATCTCTCAAAGTTGGAATTGATTGATTGAACTTTTTAGTCCTACCAGTCTGCCGTTACTACCGCAGCCACGCCCACCCAATGGGCCACACCCACCCAATTGGCCACACTCACTCAATGGGCCACACCCATCTGGCACCCAACGATGCATAAGTTGGTTTCGGGTTGCAGTTTGGGCACTCGGTCTGTAAAAGGTTCACCATCACTGGCACAGGAATTAAAACTGAAGGTTGTCACTATTGTTGAAAGCTTGCTTGACTATTAATCCTTAAAAAAGAGAGAAAATATTGAAATATGTCATTTCATGAGCATCCTCAAGTTGATGTTCATAGGTGAGTGAGGTTCCTGCTGAAATGACCTATAATTAACTATTCTCTGCTTTTCTTTTTAGTGCACGTGAGTTGGAACTAGAGGACAGGCAGAGCCGACTACAGCAAGAGCTTCGAGAGAGGATGGCAGTGGAAGGTAAGCCTGGTGGGGATTTTCTTGTTCTTAGTAGAAACAAGATGTCCCAAATCTTTAGGACCTCTTGTCTTGACAGGTTTGCTATTCTCCCTCTATCCAGATCAGCTAAAGACAGATGAAGAACTCTCAGAGGAGAAGAGGATCTTGAATGAAATGTTAGAGGTGGTGGAGCAGAGAGATTCTCTTGTGGCCCTTCTTGAAGAGCAGCGCCTTCGAGAGAAGGAGGAAGACAAGGATCTAGAAGCTGTTATGCTGTCCAAAGGCTTCAACTTGAACTGGTCCTGAGGGTATCACCATGCCTGGTTGCTGGTCTGCATTGTTCATTTGGCATATGCCAAGTTAGATGGAGCTGCCTGGTTAGAGGAAACAACGTGGAGCAGGAACTGTTTCAGGAATCTTGCAGCAGCCAAGTGCTAGAGTCAGGAGCTTCTTGCTAAGTGGGTTGCTTGTAAGGAGTCCTGTGTGAGGCTACAGAGCCAAGAACGAAGTCGTGATCGGAGATTGCGTGCCTTCCTTGAGGACCTGTGCAAGAGGTCAATAAGTCTTTTTTTTTTGTGTATGATCTCTGAGAGAGACTAAAAATGAAAATATTTTGTGTGATGTTTTTTTTAAAAAAAGAACTTTAACCAACTTAGGTGGGCCATAACCTGTTCTTTTCATATTTATCCAACCTGTGGTATTAATGGATTTGTTCGCTTAAATAACAAAGGAAGGGGGTGTCTAATATCGTCTGAAAGATCACCTTGTAGCAGCCTTTGGAAGAGCAAACCACTCACAAAGCACACTGTGTAGATGCTCTTCTCACCAAAGAAATCCAAAGCTGCCACTGTGGTCTAGGTATGGAGGAACATCCACATCTGGATGTTGATGGGAGACTTGGAACACTAAGAACTTGAAACATGGTTTCTTGTGATTTCTACAAAGACAGGGAAAGAGGCAGACTTCTTTTTTCTTCTTCTCTGCAATCTCCGCAAGTTGCCATTGTTCCAAGCAGATCCAGCATGCAAACTTTTTCCTCTTGGCCATGAAGTGCTCTGGACTGAAAGAAGCTGTTTCCTGTTGATTTTGGACTGCTCTATTGTGAACTTGATGACCATTTAGACACTGGAAAGTGCTAATTATCAAACTATGGGTTCATTCTGAAGCATTTTGAGGGATCTCATGGCCGATAGTTCCACAACTTCAAACTTCCCAAGAGTGGGCTGTTCAGTAGGTTTTTGTTTCTTTGTATTTTGGGGGATATTTTTTCCTTTTTTTTTTTTTTTGCACGTCAGAAATGAAGCAGAAGACCTATCCTGGCCCTGTAGTCACTTTAGATCCTTTAATGTTCATTAACTTATTTTTTAATACTTGAAAGAAAAATTGGTTTTGTACCTTTTTAAGAAGTGAACAGATGAGTATATGGTAAATCTGTGTGCCAGCCCTACCTTTCCATCTTTGTGTGTTTAATGCTTTCCCCTCTTCCCTGTATCTATTTATTAGAGTCATTATTAATGATATTACTATTACACAGTACATTTGATCTAAAAGAAAGATGCTTTTAAGTTCCAGACTATTGATTCTGATTTGGGTTTCTTCATGTTTAAGGGAAGGGCCTGGGAAATATGTGGGGAGAATTCCCACATAGTATTTTCTTGTATCCTCAAGGGAAAGTTTAGAAGGAAAGAGCAATGATCATTGGTTTTATTTCCTATATTTCAAAAAGTCCTCTTCCCTGAATATTGGTAAATATACAATATTATTTAGTGTTGTAAGAGTTTTGTAACCAGAACAACATTGGCGCTTCTCTTTGTATAATCAGCCAATGACAGTGGGCATCATAAAGTGCACCTCTAAGGGAAGGATTAGCACCAATTTCTGTGGTTCTATCCCCAGTGTCCCGTTTCTGGTTTGTCCAGGGAAGGAATAGGTGATTCTGTCCCACTGTAAAAGCAAAAGGGACATGAAATAAACTCATGATTAACACCAGCTCTGAGATTCCATAAGCACATATCCTTCACCATATGTATCTCAAAGGTGCTGGCCTGCAGCTTGCAGAATTTTCCATTACCAGTGCACTGTGTTAGGGGGAGAAAATGCCAGTCTCTGAATTTAAGTCCTTTATGGCATCTTAATTTACTAGACTGAACAGAGAATGGAGTTCCAATGCTGTATTTATGTCAAGAAGGGAAGCTTCCAGCAAGTTTTGCTTCTCCAGCATTGCAACAATATGAGAAGATATTCCTGCTGTGATAGCTGTAAAAGCTTTCCAGCATTTTTTAGTCAGATGTTGGCTAATTGGAGCAAGGATTTCCTTTCTGGTGTTTGGCAGCACCTACCTTGGAAAGGGACTGTACCTCTTCTTGTCTTGAAAGAAGCCTTAATTTCTACTTTTTTAAAAAAATATGGCTGCTGCCTTTTACCTTTAATCAATAGAGTTTCTTTCCATGAAATACTTCGATATTAGACTGTATGTGTTCAAAAGCAGCATCCTAGCAACTATGTTTTAGGTAGTGCCTAGAAAGATTTTTTCCAGGAAACTGCACAGGTATTGTTTTCTAAGTATGTATGGTATATATATGTTTTAGGCTGACAAGCAACTGTGGCCACCTTAAATATCTATTCCAGGATGTCCAAGCTTGGCAACTTTAATACTTGTGGACTTCAATTCCCAGAATTCCTCAGTCAGTCAATTCTGGGAGTTGACGTCCATAAGTCTTAAAGTTGCCAGGGTTGGACATCTCTGATCTTCTCCACGTAGGTGATTGGAAGAAGGACAGACATTGTTTTTGTAATAGCTTTGTAAAAGAGGAACCTGCAGTGCAGTTGATTATATGATCTCCTTTAAAAAGGCACAGCTGTCCTATCCTTTGCACCTGGCTACCTACCACAGCACAAAGAGCAACAGATTAGTTTTCTGCAAGTATCCCACCACACTGCAGCAACAGATGACAGGCAAAATCCTACCTCTGAAGTTCTATCTCACCTAATAAAATTGTTTACACATGTAAAAAAAATCCTAATTAATATTAAACTCCTTTCTTTACCCATTGGGATAAATTGTTAATGACCATGGCAGCTGTTAAGAGTTTAATGTTAATTTTTTCCCATCAACAGATAATAGTACAAAGGGAGATTTGATACGTTATATTACTATTTTGGAATTCGGCTTTTAATTTCATCAGTAGGAAGATTCCAGACAAACCTTTGTTTTTCAGCTTCATTATTTTCTAGCCAAAATTTGACATTAATGAAAGAAAGAAAAAAGGAATTCCACAAGCAAAACTCCTCTAGTTTTTTTAGGACCTTGAAGTAATATTGTGAACAGAAGAATTCATCCTGTGCAATGCAAGCTAATAGTTATTATCCTTTCCTGTACAAATCCCCATGGAGGAGGAGGAAAAGGCAGATTTGAAGCAAGTTTGTGTGATGATAGATCAGTGGTTCTCAACCTGTGGGTCGGGACCCCATTTGGGGTCGAATGACCATTTCACGGGGGTCGCCAAACAAGGCTGTCCGCCATTTTTCCCCCTTTTCTTTGGTCACGCCCCTGGTACCCGGTGATATATAAGTGGTTGGGGGTCACCACAACATGGGGAACTGTATTATGGGGTCGCGGCATTAGAAAGGTTGAGAACCACTGTGATAGATGTACACAGAGAAAGCTGCCCTTATGTTGTACAGTGTTTTAGTGATTACAGCTGCTCTACAAACATAGCTCTTTATAGCCCAGGCAAATTCAGGTAAGGAGCCACGGTAGCATGTCTCTTTTATTACATTCCAGCCAAATCAAACCCCTCTTCAGGAATGGGGAAGAATGTCTTTCAGCATCTCAATCACAAATGTCCAATTCCGAAGCATCATTCATGTTGCCAGGATATCTAAAAATGGATATCAAAGGCAAACATGAGGACATCCAAGGACAAAAGTTGCATTTACACCCTTTCACAGAAAGAGGTACTTCTTTAATATTATGAGTACTTAGTAAGTCCATTCCTTCAGTGTTTCATTTCCATTCCAGCTCTTCCAAATGGTCATGCTGCCTGAAGCAGACATCTTTATTCCTCCACGAATTGATAATTGCTTCTTTTATCCCCACCACCCATTTAGTGCAACAATAAAACCACGAAACAGAAGACGATTATCTCCATAAGGCAAAATTATGAATGTTTACATTCTCTTTATGTCACAACTGCAAAATGAGGAAATTAAGCTACTTTGGAAGTAATACACATGGTGAATGCATCTTTTCAATGGGTTGAATTTTGATGAAATGTTTTTGGAGCAGTGATAACCACATTTAAGAAATGGTATTTATCTGTAGGAAAACGTACAGAAAAAGTTATAAACTCTCAAAAAACAAAAAACAGAATGCTGCTGGAAGAAAGAAATGTCTTTAGAAGAGCTCAAACCACCCTTGAAAAACTGATGCTTATTATTACATATGCTTTATGCCAGCGGTTCTCAACCTGTGGGTCGGGACCCCATTTGGGGTCGAACGACCATTTCACGAGGGTCGCCAAACAACGCAGTCCGCCATTTTTTTCCCCCTTTTCCTTAGCTGTGCTACTCCCTTTTATTCTATTGGCTTTTCAAAGCCAATAGAATAGACTCTCTTGAATAGAGTCCAGGCTGTCTCTGCCCTGCTGAGCCCACCAAAAGTCCCATTCTGCAAACGGTGCTGCACCAGTTGAGTAGTCCTTGACTTACAACCGGTTGAGTAGTCCTCGACTTACGACTGGTTGGGGGTCGCGGCATTAAAAAGGTTGAGAACCACCGCTCTATGCTGAACATAATGGGAGATTGGAAAGGTAGAAATACGTAGCACAGAGAAGTTTCACACCAAGTAAGATTACAGAGCAAATACGGTACATACTCTCCTGGGTTAAAGTGGGAAGAGATTTTTAAAAGGTTTTTCATGGGCCAGGTGGAGGTCAGGTGCCTATTCCTGATACCCAGGAAGAAGAAAATAAAATCAGCTTCCAGGTCTTGATATGACGTGACTAAGAATGGAAATCATTCCCCTGCTTTTCTTGCCTTTAGCTGCTGTATCTTGGCACCTATTCAGATGAAAGAGGCACTGCATAGTTCAGTGTTTCTCAACCTTGGCAAGTTTAAGAGGTGCTGACTTCAACTCCCAGAATTCCCCGGATGGCTTGAGAAACACCTGGTGGCTTATAAGAATCATGACTGTCATTCTGGGTGCACTTGTAAAGAATTAGAACCTACTGCATTCATTAAAGCAGTAGAAATCAGGCTTTTTTTGGGGGGGGGAAATCCTTTTTTTATCATGACAAAAGAAGAATCACCTTCAGTCTTATTAATTATGCTTCTTCCTCTTTGATTGTGGGGATCATGACAGAAGAATTGACTCGATCATAAGTTTGAGGATGGAATAGCTTCATCTCTTCAACCTCAGCTCTAACCTTGTTCTGGAGATTCAAGACCTTTCTGTCATTCAAGATCTCCATGGCTAAGACACCACTTGCCCCAGGAACCTTAATCAGTTTGACACTCATAGCATTTCCTGTAATATTTTGCACTCACCGAGCTTATCATTTGACTGAATTTTCAGGGAGTTTTGTTCGCTTTAAACGTGGTGTCTAGCCTTCTTTAAGAAACGTAGCAAGCATACATGTTGTGCCCTCTAGCTTTTTAACCTTTTTATACTACATATCATTCAGGAGCCTTTTAGAGTACCTGCAGTTATGTTTAGAGTTGCATGATCTCCTGCTGCAAATAGCAAAAAAGTTGTCACTCTCTTTGTATGGATTTAAGACAATGTAATCAACAGTATGTTTACATTTGACTTCTCTTCAGAGGGAGCTATGTATTCGTTTTCCATCCTCTTCTGTAAAGAAAATGAAAATACTGTGAGTTTGGGAGTGTTTGCAATAAAAAGAAAACAAAACCCCTAAAAACAGCCTTTTATTAAGAGGCAACAAAAAAAAAAAATACTGTACCATAAGTGAATAGAGTATTTCCTAATACAGGTAGTCCTCAACTTATAACCACAATTGAGCCCAAAATTTCTGTTGCTAATTAAGTGAATTTTGCCCCATTTTACGACTTTTCTTGCCACAGTTGTTAAATGAATCACTGCAATTATTAAGTTAGTAATACGGTTCAGTGAACGTGGCTTCCCCATTGACTTTGCTTGTAAGAAGACTGCAAAAGGTGATCACATGACTCTGGGACACAGCCACTATCATCAGTATGAGTCAGTTGCCAAGCACTTGAATTTTGTTAATGTGACCGTGGGGATGCTGCAACGGTTGTAAGCGTGAAAAACGGTCATGAATCACTTTTTTCAGTGCCCTTGTAACTTTGAATGGTCACTAAATGAATTGTTATAAATTGAGGACTACCTGTTATGCCTACATTTATGAGAGAGAGAGAGAGATGTATGGGAAATCTAGTCCCAATATAAAAATTTTGGAGCAGATGAGAACTATCATTATCAGACTGTTTTATTGTTGGTGTATATGCAGTGTGACAGGAAATTACATACTGTATGTTTCATATCCAAACCATAAACAGTTCTCTTTTACTTTCCAATATGACCACATTTCATTCTGTACACCCTTAAGCAACCTTGTTTCTTGGGGATCAGATTTTAACATCTTAGGTCACCAATAGAATTTTTTAAAAAAATAAAGTCCTTTTTTCTTATTTTGTTATGTGTATAATTTGCCTATAGCCAATTGGGGAGTTATGTCTACTTAATTTGACTAAAATCCTAAAGGATGGCTTTTATTATTTCCATGCCAATCATTTACCAAATAGCAACATATTATGTGTATCATGTATCACTATTTCGCCATTACATCTGGCAAAAGAAGTCAAAATTTATTATGGCACAGTGGTTAAGTGCAGTATTGCAGGTGAACTCTGCCCATAGTCAGGAGTTTGATCCTAACCAGCTCAAAGTTGACTCAACCTTCCATTCTTCTGAGGTCAATAAAATGAGGATCTAGATTATTGGGGGGGAGCTAACATTGTAAACCGCCCAGAGAATGCTACAAAGGCACTGTGGGGTGGTATATAAGTCTAAATGCTATTGCTCTTGTGTAGAAATTGGTCTGTCCTTAAGACTGTTCTCAAAAGTAGATCTATGATCTGGTCAATTTCTTAGCCACCCTTGGCTTTTTTGAAACACAAACATTTCTTCAGGTCCCAGAATTCGCCAGCCAAGGATTGGTAAGAATCTGATGGGTTAGCTTTCTGCTATTTTTTTTTTTTTAATGACAGAAGATGCCCACTATGACACCTATTTTCTGACATGTTCAAAATTCTAAATATTACCCATCAATCAAAAATTTCAATTAGTCTGATAAACTGAAGTCATCCATAATCGTAACACTTTGCCTTTTAAATGTCCATAAGTTAGGAAAATCATTTAAGGCCAAGTTGGTGCTTGTTCCCCAAATAGGTTGATATTGCAATTCTCAGAATTTAAAATGGCTGGAAGTTCTCAGGGTACAGCTGTGAATTACCTGAACGGCATCAGTTTGGAGGAATGCCACTTTTGATGCAGCTTTTTTATGTTACAGCCAAATAGCTTTGTACTGGAATATTTGTATAGCAAATAATCTGGACTGTTTTGTCCTAGAGTGACCTCTTGAACAAATAGTTGACTCTCTTCAGTAGACTGTTGATTCAGCAGAAGTAATCAGATTTCCCATGGGACTCACACATTATGCCATGCAGAAAATTGACAGTACCTAAATAGAAATCTCAGCGTTGTAGAAGAATACTATTTAAAGTCTATTTAACAATAAACCATGTACTTCTTCACTGATGAAAGACATTTCTAAAATAAATTGCTGTGCACTTTCCTTTGCATGAATGCTGATAGTATTTTAAAATGTAAAAGTCATAGAATAACAAGAGTTGGAAGGGACCTTGAAGGTCTTCTAGTACAATCCCCTACTCGAGCAGAAGGCCCTACACCAGTGATGGCAAACCTTTTAGAGACTGAGTGCCCAAACCACAATCCAAAACCCACTTATTTATCGCAAAGTGCCAGGGTCGCATCAGCATTGTGGTGCCCTTGGGGGGGGTGGGAGTGGGATGGCCCACTGGATGGGCGTGGCTGTGGTGGTCACGGCAGACTGAGTGGGCATGGCCAGAGTGGACGTGGCCACCTTGATGTTCATGGGGACGCCTGTGGGGGCTGGGCAGAATTGGGGGAGATCCAGGGGGTCTCTGGTGGGTGGGGCGGTGGGCAGGAGGCTTGTCCTGTGGGGTGAGGCAGGGGGTAGGGCGGGGGTGCCATTGCTGTGGGGCAAGGCGAGGCAGCGAGCGCATGGTCTACCACCTCTACTCAAGCTTGCTAGCCAGCTGCTTCATCTCCTTTGTGCTGGGTGGGGCTGCCGCTCCAGGCACCAGCAGTGGCCTAATGGACCTGCGTGAGCTGACGGCGGCAGCAGCAGGTGTGCCCACAGAGAGGGCTCTCAGTGCTGCCCCTGGCACGCGTGCCATAAGTTCGCCATCACTGCCCTATACCATTCTAAAGAAATGACTGCCAATCTCTTCTTAAAAACCTCCAGTGATGGAGGTTTCTGGTGGCAAGCCATACCACTAATTTCTGGTGGCAAGCCATACCACTAATTAATTGTTCTCGTCAGAAAACTCAGCAAAATTCAACAAAAGACAACTTACAAAATTCACAATTAGTTTATTTTGCTTTTGAAGCAGTAACATGCTGCTCATACTTGCACTTCAGCCAGGAGGTGATGCTGGTGCTTCAGAATGGAAATACGGACATGTTAAACAGTGCATCTATGCAAATATAAGACGGAAGGTTGCAACAAAGTTAGGGAAATGAAAGTGGAGCAAATACAGAGTGTTTGCAATGAGAGGCAGGACAGTAACTTGAGTGCTAAGCATCTGGGTGTCCAGGGTTTGTAATTAGCCAGGGGCAAAAAAAAGGAAAATGGATATAAAGGGGAAATTTGGTAAAGAGATCATGACATGAGATAAAGAGTTTCTCAATGGACAGCAGGGAGTCTGCAAGAAAAAATATAAGTAAATCTGATGAGAAGGAATGGTTCTCATAGAACTGAGAGGAAGAAACAAAAGTTGGAATTTGAAAATCATATAAAAAGATGTGGAGATGAGAGGTGCAAATGATGAAGATCCCGGAACTTTGCTACAGACTGATTTGGCCCAGGGAAAGGGCATGCCTGGAAGAGATGCCTAGGGCTGTGGTGGCGAACCTAAGGCACACGTGCCACAGGTGGCACGCAGAGCCATCTCTGTGGGCACGCACACCATCGCCCCAGTCCTAGCCTTCAGCTGGGTTTATAAAAAAATTTCACTTTAGGCCTCTGCCATCGTGTGCAAAATAAAAAAAAAAGTTCAATCAATCAATCAATTTCAACTTTTTGCGGGGGAAAAAAAGATCTCGCAAAGTTGGAATTGATTGATTGAACTTTTTAGTCCCACCCAGTCTGCTGTTACCACCGAAGCCATGCCCACCCAATGGGCCACACCCACCCAATGGGCCACGCCCACCCAATGGGCCACGCCCACCTGGCACCCGATGATACATACGTGGATTTGCGGTTGCAGTTTGGGCACTCGGTCTCTAAAAGGTTCGCCATCACTGGTCTAGGGAGAAGAACAGGAAGTGGGCAGTTTAGCAAAGCCACACAAGGAAAGAAACAGAAGTCAAGAGATTGAAGGGACACAAGAAGATTACTTAGTTGAGCGGTAAAAGGAGAACACACAACTGTTTCCTCCCTGGTGTCTGCCTGGGTTTGGATTCAGTAGTTATGAAAGAGTCAGATGCAGTGGTGGGATTCAGCCAGTTCACACCAGTTCGGCAGAACCGGTAGCTACTTTTGTGTTGCCCAAGCCCAGAATGGACTTCTGGAAGCAGCAGCCACACAGAGAACCGGTTGTTCACATATTTGAATCCCAGCAATGGAATGGAATGAATACCTAGTGACAGCTGGGAAGAGAGAAAGCAGAATCTGACTGGAAAAACCAATGGGTGGCCAACAACTTGGATTAGGATGGGGGCCAGTAAAGAGATATAAACAGAATTAAGTAGAGACAAGAGAGTAGAAACTGCTCCAATAGATTTCACAAAGCTACTAAGGTGGTTGAACTGAGTAAATAAGTTTGGTTCTTAAAATGCCCTGGGGGCTGCCTCTGTGTGTGTGTGTGTGTGTGTGAGAGAGAGAGAGAGAGAGAGAGAGAGACAGACAGACAGACAGACAGACAGACAGACAGACAAAGAGAGGTCTCCAAGCAAGTCCCAATGTTGTATAGAAACCTGATGTAGATCTATATGGTTTTCCTTCCAAGCAAAGCTATCCTCAGCAGACACTTCTGAAAACTGGAAAGTAAAGTGTTACACTCTGTTGTCTGGTCATAACTAGAAGTCTCTTGGATCTTACTGGATCTATGAAAGGAAGTTAACCATTTCAAAGTGCTGATGGAAGAGATAAGCAGTCTGCAACAATATCTGTAAAGATGTTAAAGATGGAAACAGACATGGAAAGATCTCCAAACTTAAGAGATTCCAATCTTAAATTGGTATATTAAAGACTGCAATGTACAAATAGGAACTGATTCAAAGATCAAAGAAAGATGGAAATAGTATCCTGAAATTCTGTACAATAGAGAGGTCAACATTCAAAGCACCTTGAAGGATATTCCCTATTTACAAAACCTCTAGTACTGGAAGATTCAGTTAAATCAGCACTCTGACTATTACAAAGTCTACAAAGTTAGAAGGCTGCAGGAGCTGATAGAGCATTTACAGAAATATGGCGAGCAACAGAACTTCATTATGTCGACATCACAAAATTGGTTGTGAATCTAAAATGGAGGGTGGGA